AAAATTCGGATTTTCAATACAAACGTGAAGTCAATTTTGCTTTACGGATCAGAAACTTGGTGGGTCACCAAGAATATTTTCAACAGGTTGCAGACCTTTATCAACAACTGTCTTCGCTCCATACTGAAGATTAGATGGCCAGAAAGAATCACAAACAAGAAGCTATGGGAACAAACGAAACAGGAACCAATCGCCCAACAAATATGCAGGAGGAAGTGGAGATGGATTGGACACTCGCTGAGGAGGCCGCTGGGTGACATCGCGCGTCAGGCCATAGCTCGAATGGAACCCGAAAGGGAAGCGGCGAGTGGGACGTCCAAGGGTGACATGGAGGAGATCGTGTGAGGAGGAGATGAAACAGTATGGAATAACATGGACGCAAGTGAAAAGAACAGCAGAAGACAGAAGCAAGTGGAGGCGTGCAGTTGAAGCCCTATGTTCCACTAGGAACCCAAGGGAACAATAATAATAATAATATGTACCCTATTATATTATCATTACTAACTATATTTACTAATCGTATGTGTAATTTATCGAAGTGATGATGCCTGTAAACTGGTGTCCCTCATGTAAAAAAATGAGAATATACTATTATTATTATTAACATTATACAAACACATGCCTTTGCATGTTGTCATCATGCTGAAACAGCACACGCAACTGCACTACCATCACTGTGTGTTATTTTTAATGGAGGCAGCATTATTAACGCACTCTGAGGATTCTACAGCGATTGTGTGTGCTTCGAAGTTTGTTTGTGCCATGAGCACTGAAATCGCAACTGATAACTAGTCGAACACTGAAGTTTACGCCAAACTTTTAGGCAGCACTAATACCTGATGTGTTTCACTACACAACTCAAATTGTAATTTTCGCAAATCTTCGAAAGCTATTTAAACGGCCGCCAAGTAAGCGCGGTTACTTCACAGCGAAAGATACTGATTTAAGGAAGTTAGGACGCGCAAACGGCAAAGTTAAAGTATCAGAGTCCATGGAATGCAAACGTACAAGTGACCTTGAGCCAACTGATCAGAAAAATCAGTGATCTTTACACAAAAAGAACTTTGTTCACAAGAAAATGCATGAAAACACAACAAACGGAGTATTTTCTTCCGATATGACTGAAAAATACGTCCCAGTCGTAATGAGGAATGTTAGTTTTCAAGTCGAACCAATTTCTCTACGTATATTCATCAAGGTGACTCAAAATACGTTGATTTCACAAGCCATTTATTGCTCTTATCCCGTTACTCATTCTACCCCTAGAATCCGTCGACTGAATTGGTATGAGTGCTAGTTATTGGGTTGACGAAATCATCAGAATGGTTAACCTGATGACGGATATATCCCCAGTCTGGTAGGTGGCTGTCCTGCCTGTTTTTCAGTGTGAATAGCACTGCTATAGACGACTGGTAGAAGAGTGTTGGCACTACGACCTGGAATAGCGTCCATAATTCCTTTCTGAAGTCCGGTGTCGTTAATACCCGACACCCGAACGTTGTTTGCTTCAGGGCTACCGCTACTGTATTTCTTTCTATAGGAACTATTTCGTCGATACGAAAAATCACACCAACTCTTACAGACGTGTAACAGTACTCAACTTCCAAGACGCTATTTCTCTGCAGTGCTGGTAACATTGCACAGTGGTTAGGACGCTCGCCGACCATGTACATGGTCCTGGGTTCTATCTACGGCCGACGGACACCTGATATCAATGGTCGGCCTGCTAAATTTGGGCTACCCATACCACATGCTGAAAAATCCATACTTGTACCAAAATACTGTGTGGAATCAAGCTATAATAAAATAAATAAAAAATAAATAGATTTCATACCTAGTAATTTTCCGTCTCCACATCCGTCGATCCCACTCCAGCCTTTAATATTCAATAATGGCACATAAAGAGGATATTCATCAGCTTTAGTTTCGATCTAGCAAAGAAAGCACCTAAAATACAATGAACCGAGTGTGCACCTTACCAGTCCGAACACTCATTCGTTTTCTATATTGTGTGCACCTGAGTAATGCACATCATCTGCTTTTGAACGCCGTTGCAAATACATGGAAGCACCACAAGAATATTTGTGGCTACACGCTAGCAATCCATTGCCTAAAAGGAACTTAAAAAGGTGATCTGGATATAAATTACTCTTTAATTGGTGAATGTTGTTCACACTGGCCCATTAGTAACGGTAGTCCCCGTTAGTCAACATCTGGCATGCGTTCGTGGTCACTGAAGTGTTCATACTCCTGGTCCGTGATGTCTTAACTTGTTCACGAAGACAACAATAAACCTGAATTTAACGGAATATTAATGAGAGAGAGAAAAAATTAACCGATCGACGTGATAACACACCGGTGACCTCGAATATTATGGTATCACTATCTACGGTACATTTCAAATACTGTGCGTATTTGATGCATTTACACAAACTGTGTTCTCCAGATATGGAAATGCTTTTGGTGTTTTATTACCACAACTGTGTAACTATTGTCACAGTGTATGTCAGCGTGGTAAGCACGTCACAGCGAGTGACCCAGCTAAATACGGGCCACAAGTCGGCAGTTCATCAGAATTTCTAATGTAGCTGATGCCTGTGGATGCAAAGTGCTCGGAGAGTATGCAAACACGAACTTGCTGATTCCAAAGTTAAGGCCTATAGTCCAAGTTATTCTCAACGGAATCACTAAATAATATCTTAAAATGATTCGGAGAAATAATTTTTTCCTAGAAAGATTCAATCAAACTACAAAAACTACCTGTTTTGTGGTTACTCCAGGTAAAAACCAACAAGATATCGTGGCCTACCGAAACGTCTTGGAGTTATTAAATGAGACCTACTTAAGGTAACTAATAGAACAAAGTTTTCTGTATGTGAACTCCTGTTTGACTCAGGTAACACAGCACCACTTGAGTTTTTTGCACGGCAGAATTCAAGCAAACTAAATGTCTATCTTGTCACGGCAATTGGCAGTCAAGGCACCAGCTACTGATGAACCAAATCCCAAAACGATGACCCGCTGATTGTTTTGGCGATAAGACTATTCAGTAATCACCACAAGTACTCGCGTGTATGTTCAACTGGTTTTCAAGAAAACGCCACGCAATTCTGGAGGGAAATGTAGGAAGGATATCGTAGGGAATAGGAGCTTTGTGCACACAGAACACTAATACGTCACGTGATAAGGTGCGGACTATAATTTACTTGTAAATCCTGTACGGAAAAGAAACATTTCGAATACACTGAGAATTCGAGTAATATATACTAGTATGGTGTTTGAAGAAAATCTTTAATAGTATTAGGAACAAATATACAAAAGGGTACAGGAGATTGGTGAAATTAGCTGATCACTATACAAATATGAGGGGCCATTAAATATGATTTTTTTTCTTCACGTTCCCCAGTGGAACATAGGGCTTCAAGCTAGTGGCTTGAAGTTTCTGTAGCAGTGTTTAATTTTACAGGGTGGGGTTGCTAGCCTCATGCCCAACCTTTCCTCTTTATTTCTGGCTTAGCGAGGTAAAGGAGTGCGTCGGTCGGGGATCGAACCCCGGACCATGTGCATGGGCGGCAAGCGTCCTAACCACTGTGCCACCGACGCACTATTAAACATGATACCATTATATAATAGTACATAATTAGACTTTGAACTAGTTTTCAATTATTTCGCAGTCAGCAGATGTGGCTGATGTGGAGAATGATCCAGCTGCAATAAGGATAGGATGTTTTCTGCACGAACTCAGTATAGACATAAAGGCAATGATCTTGGAGTCATATAGTTGGTAGAGAGTAGAAACATTTCCAAGGAGGCATGGCAAAAAGTACTTAGCTTTATTTCTGAACTTCGTGGTGACTTAATTTAAGCTCATGAATCGACTCAATGGACTACTGGCTCATTTCTGCGGTTTGTGCAACAAATCCACAGGCTATTTGTTCGGTCTAAGGCCAGTGTCTTCTGTTCACAGAGTATGCTTTAATCTTGTTTCGGGATAAACTTCACGCTTCATGTTCGCAGGCTTTCGGGTACGACTGTTTAGGTAACTTTGTTTAACGTATTAAATAATTGGTTTTTAGACGATTCCTAGTTAAGAACCCAACTTTCACCGCATTTCGCCATATTGGGAGTAAGTTTGACTAACTACTAAAATCCACCCAGATTCACATCTAGGAAATTTACCATACGTACAGCAACAAACGTGACTGACCAAACTGAACAAAATTAGATTACAAACACAAACGAATTATTCAGTAGACAAATGATGAGTGGGCGTGTATGGTTTAGGCGTTAAAAGCTAAGGTAAGGATATGCTAACATCCAGTTGAATTTTACTCATTTGATGCCGAGAAGAAGCAGTAAGTTGGGTGAGAACAGCAAATTTGTATTCGCAGATATCTCAGAATCCATACTTTTTCTTAGCTGAGTTGCGTGTTTAGTTAGCTTGAGATAATCCAAAAAACGACTGAAGGTCAACATTCAGAGTGAGATGCTGAAGCTGATTTTTATAAAATTCTAAACGGCCGCAGCTTACTTACTTATAGTGAAATCATATGAGTCTTAAAGCATCTCTTCTTGAAATTAAAATCCTATGGTTGCGCTATCAATGAAACATTTCCGAAAGTTATGTTGGCAACGAGTGGGACTGTGGTCGTCACGCAACTCTGAGGTAGCAGATGTAGTGTGATAACAGTGATATTTGTCTTTCACTTCTCATGCTTCATGCGTTTTGTGATTTTTCGAATTATTTAACAATGCAAGTTGAAACGATATTCTAAAGCAGTCCCTGGCATATTCTGAATGAATTAATGACAAGATGATATTAATTTACCTACCTCCGAAATGGTTTGTTAGCGTTACTGGTAATATAAAGTCATCATGATACTAGAATTATCATCTAGTATTAGTTACCTGGTTACATGAATGTACACAGCTAAGCAACAAAAGTGGAGCCTAGGTGCTAGTGCAAACTGAATTTACTTTCCGACAGACGGTAACCCGTCAGTTGTATGTAGGCACTTCACAGAGCATCTAAAATGAACTGAAAGAGTTTTATTTATCAATATATTAACGCCAAGAAGGAAAAGTGGTTTTGAGACCACTGGCTCGACATTATCTAGTCATTAGAACATTGTACATTTCAGTACTATAGATAAATATATGCGTCACTACAGCTTAGTTCTGCAGAAGGCGCGCTTTTAGAGATGGGCTCTCCTTGTTGACTTGTTCACTAGTTTCCCTTGTTAAGGGATATGGCAGAGATCGACTTCTTGTCTGCTGAGCTTGACCATGATGAAGAATCAAGAGATGAAGAAGGAGACAGTATTAACTCACTCGTTTTGAGTAAAAAGATATCTCAGCCATTGGATCATCCGGTTAGTTGATTTTTCCTTATGTGATAATGACAGACTAAGGATACCAAGTCTTCCAGTGTAAAAGAGTAGGTTTTGAATCGTCTTTTATTATCGTATCAGGGAAACCATCAAACAGGAGACTGTTGAGATTTGTCAGAAGACTGTCAATCCTAACAATCGTGTAAATGCTGAAAACTTCAATATACAACGTGTGATTGGCAAAGGAGGCTACGGAAAGGTTCGTGGAACTTCTGTGGCTTAGTGTGCAGGTTTTTCTAGTCCAAAAAGTAGATGGCATCGACCAGGGGAAACTGTACGCTATGAAGGTTTTGAAAAAAGCCAGGCTTGTATGCAATGAAAAAGACAAAGCTCACACGGTTTCTGAAAGAAACATCCTTGAAATTTTACAGGTGAGTAATGTGTTCGTCTTATCGTCTCTTAGCACCCGTTCCTAGTTAAACTCCACTATGCGTTTCAAAATCATTCAAATTTGTACATTGTTCTTGAATATTGTCACGGGGGAGAACTTTTTAACTATTTAGAACGTGAAGGGGCCTTGCTGGAAAATGCTGCATGGTAACAGAAATTTTGCCTTATATAATTAAGATAGCTTCTATGCTTCTGAAATAGTCCTAGCCATCGGACACTTACATTCATTAGGTATAATCTACAGAGATCTTAAATCTGAAAACGTGCTACTGGATCGTCAAGGACATGTAAAGCTTACTGACTTTGGACTATCTAAGGAGGGCGTGTGTACCACAAACACTTTTTGCGGGACGATTGAGTACATGTAAGTCCGGAATCTGTCTAACTGTTCAGGGCTCCTGAGATAATTCGTTGTGAAGGTCATGGAAAGGCAGTGGATTGGTGGAGCCTTGGTACCCTTATCTTTGACATGTTGTCAGGCGCAGTAAGTCGTGTTTGTGCTTGGTCTGACTTTTATCTTAGCCCCCATTTAGCCAAGAAGAAAGTCGTGAAGCTACTACCCACAAGGTGAGTTTTTCTTCAGTTTATTTATTTTCGGTAGATTCTCACAGCTCCTTTGAGGTTCCCTCCATCTTTTTCATCGGAAGTTATTAGTCTAATACGTGGCTTATTGAGGCGTGACCCGAATGAGAGGTTGGGAAGTAAAGAAGACGTTGAAGAAATAAAGAGACACAAATTTTTCAAAAGACACGTAAGTCAGCTGAACGCACCAAAAATTTGCCTTTATAATTGTAATACCGAACAACCAGATTTATATCAGTTTATATTACAAAACTGTTGGTTATCTCAGAAGACTTGACATTTATGTGTCCCCATTCGTTAAACCAATAACTTGTTTAGGGTTCTCTAGATACTAAGAATTAGTGGTTTGCGATTGCTGATGACAACTGAAAATCATTCTAAAGCTCAATTGTATTAATTCCTCGTGACCTAGATTCGGAAAACCTTGGCTAACCTTCATCCAACCATTCTCTATCCTGTATTCGTTGACTGCAGGTTCACTACAACTCCCCTGCTTTATACTGTCCAAAATTGCGGTAGCTTAAACTGGTGCACTTGCATAGGGTTTCACGTTATAAAGTCGACCAGTCAGTCCTTAGAGAAGGCATAGAAATGTCTCAGTCACAGTTTAATTGATTTTATTTTCCATTTGTAATTTGACCAACAACTTTATACAAAGCGGAAGTTGTTCACTATGTTTAGCTTTATCTCATTAATAGCCAAGTATAACTAGCGGTCATAATAGCATATCTGTGTAGATTATAAGGTGTTAGCGTCTGCGAGTTTAATTTATACACTAAAAGCAATTTTTATTTTTCAGGAAATCAATTGGTCTGATGTGTACCACCGGCGCTTAAAACCACCATTCCGTCCAAAGCTCACCGCAGAAAATGATGTCTCCATGTTTGACCCATCATTCACACGTCTACAGCCTGTCGTTAGCCCGGTTGACGGCATCGCGTCCATTCCTCCCGATATGTTCCAGGTCAGTTTACATTTTAATTCCGTACTTGTAACACTGGGCGTCTAACTAATATGTGGAACATCTTCGAGGTAACCATTGTGAGTATATGACAGAGACAAATAGAAGAATGAAATAATTAAGCACATATATCTAAATGTGTCAACCTATTCAGCTAGGTATTCTATCCGATTTAGGTTTGCCATTTTAGTAGCTATGATGTTTTGCAGACTGAAACAGGTACCTTAGTGGTACTTGCGACTACAAGTATTTTAAATTCGTCCACTTGGGTGCATTACTAGATAATGACATAACATGAAACGGAGAAATAATAATAATTTTTGCTTTATTCCAAAAACAGTACTAATGATACAGCAAGGAATTTTCAGCATTCAGTACAATATTGCATTTAATTTACTCAAAACGACAAAAAATAAACATTACATAATAATAATAATAATAATAATAAAACGTTATAGCAGCTGTGAAGCAATTACAGTATGCGATAAGGAAAAAAAATACGCATTAAGTATAAAATTGTAGAAATAATAGTAATAACTAAAATAAAATCGCTAAGTTATAATTAAACGATAGAAAGGGTGACACCATAAAATTACAGAAAGATGAACGACGAAAGGGTCGATTCACTTTGCTAATTACATAGTAACTTATATGTTTCACGTCTAACAGTCTCTTCATATAAAATACGGGCTAAATAGGGTATTGTAGAATTTTTGTACTTGGTGGTGCGAGCATATAACGTATATTGACTTCTCGTCCTACCTGATGAGATGCAAGGGGATAGTTGTGAATAAAGGGGATGCAGGGAATCTGACAGTACGGCCTTTGCCCATTTTGTACAGGATTTTATGTCTCCCGACTATAATATTGGCGAGCTCACGCAGTGGCAAACCACAAGCCCTACTCACAGCATTTAATACCCTTCGTAATATGACATAGTCTTTTTTGAGAAGCCCAGGAAAGATTAATGGAGAGCATTAGAGTACAATAGGTAAAATACAGGAGTTTAAAAATTGCAGAACTAAAGGTTGGTTGATACCTGATTGTCTTAACTTTTTAATGTAGAAGGTAAGACGAAACATTTTCTTAGAGATTGATAAGATGTGGGATGACCATGAAAGGTCAGAGGAAAGAACTAATCCAAGGTATTTAATGCTTGACTTGGTTTCAATTTCCGTGCCATCTATGCTACAGGCATCATGGGAACTAACTAGATCATGAATGTCACGTCGATGCATGAAAGTAAAGTTAACTGCCTAACATTTGGAAGGATTTAACATAAGACCATTTGACTTAGACCACTTGCTGATGTCCAACAAAAAGCTATTGAGTTTGGAGCAGTCAGACTCGGAAGTAATAGACAGTGATACAGTCAGATCATCCGCATATTTGACAAAGTTAGTTTCGTTTAAATGAGGCAGGTCGTGTAGGAAGAAAGAAAAAAGAAAAGGAGAGAGGACGGCACCTTGAGGAACACCCGCTTTTGTAAGCGAGGCAGAAGAAGATTTGCCATTATATACAGTATACTGCATTCTATCAGAAAAATAAGAATGCAACCAACTCTTGGCCCAGGATCCTGTTTGCGTCAACGAAAGCTTATTTAATAAAATGCCCCTAGGTAGAGAGTCAAAAGCAGATGTGTACTCTAGGAAAGCACCATGTTTTTGCTTGTGGATGTTCTCCGCCTTTTTCTCACTACTGCTTCTTATACAAAGCTTTATTCTTGATTGGTATCATTTCCACACAAGACTGATGTTCTACTTTCCTTCATGTTCATTAATCACTAGTTCGTTTGGAAGAAATGGATGCATGAATTTCGGTAGTGCTGTATGATTTAACTGAAGGCTAGATTCTTTATGAATTATGCGTGAGACTGTGTTTTGTGTATGATTGACAGTAAAACGTTTCACATGCCTAATGAGCATAGTAAAGAATTTTTTCACTGGAATGGATGTATATAGGTATATTCATGTATAAACTCTGTGCAGCATGGACATCAAGAAACACTAGAACAAAGTGCTACTAAAATGGTGCTACGTGCAGAAGGCTTATTGCCAAATCCTTCAGAATGAATCAATATAGTTGAACAATCACATTGTTGTCAAGTACATACTTCCAATTCTTGTCTTTCTAACACATGCATAATACATGAAGACATTAATGCATAATGGTCTCCTTTTCTGTATATTATATAAGCATAGGAGAGAAAAAATTAGGAAGGAATATCATACTATTGGTAGTGGTTAAAAATAAGTATTTGCGAAATACGTTGTAGCCAATTCTGACAAAAGTTTACTCTCGGCAGTAACATTTATTCAGAATACATTCGTTTCTATAGTTGAGTTGTAGCTCATTGTTCTACGCGCTTGACTTTCAACTATTGAGTCACGAGTTCGAACTGTTGTACACATGAAAGTGTGCGCTGCCACATGATGTATCACTAGTCTTCATACAATAGGTGTGGCCCATTGCCAGCTGTATGGAATTGCGAGTGGTCGTTCAGTTTCTTGTGTTGTATATTTCTCGGTAACGAATCCCTAATTCTCATTCCCTCACTGAGCTTTCTTCAATAGGGATTGACATTTACCAATCAAAATCAATTCATTTATTGAGTGAGGCATACTAACCATACGCGTGAAAACGAAATGCAAGAGACATTGTCCATCTCTCTACATTGCTTTATTTTCTTTCAAATCAACCACTTTTTGGAAGGATTGTTCAGCCTCAAAGTGATTTCTATTTTGACACAATCACAAAACACTTTTCTACTATCTGCCATTTTTTATTGTCTGCTGGATTGCAGAGCTAAGCATTTTCATTGCGTTTATATTCATGCTGCATTTTACTTTTAATTGAAAGTGGTAGGCTACCAGGTTATTAATCTAACTAATTGCCACCAGCTCAAGAGGAAGTATGTATGTTTCCCCATTTTTGGAGGACCGAATGCTTTGATTTATCTTAGTCTAGCAGCTATTTATACATCTAGTCTAATAAGCTACAGTGAACCTATAATACAGCGTTTTATGGAATTGTAATACAGTAGTGGTTCAGCAATTCAGTTAGGAGCATAAATGTCAGTTGTATTTGAAACCTTAGATACAGTGTAACGCCTGTAGTTCTGCACATTTTTTAGACAGCTGGAGGCATATTATGTTATACTAGTGACACTATTTTTGACCTATTGTAATTGTATTAATACCTGTATGTTAGCATTAGTATTCTGTTGATATCATATAGTTCCGGAATCCTTCTTAGTGGTTAAGACTGCAGTATATTGACGAAATAACGTCAAAATGCAAGCCAAGCAGGCATTTTGATCAAGGCGAAGAGTATCCAGAACTGGATGCATCGAATCAAAATCCTTCTCTCCAGAGGTGAGACCACTGGTACCCATCATCTAAGGGTAAATGTAAACGAATGCTCTGGCGTTGGTCTCTATTACACACGAGTCATCCACTCATTTATTGAAATCTTTATTTATTTATTTATCAGGGCTTTTCGTATGTGGCACCGAGTGTTTGTGAGGACAGTTTGCGTGACACATGGACGGATAATTTATCAAGTCGCCATCGAAGACATGGGTATGTATTCATTTATTTTTGATTTTCCCTAACTCCATTTTTGCTGCAATACATACATATATATATCGTGATTTTCATTGATTGGTCTGTGTTCAGCATATAGCAAATTGAAATCTGTAATTCTGTTAGGGCACTGATACTTCCCGGCTTTCTGTCACAGGCGTATCTTCCAATAGTACAGTGTTTAGTCAGTCAGTAATATCGAAATTTTAAAGGATAAGAAATCAGAAGTAGTAAATGATGAGAAGAGTTTGTCAAAATGCTAATAATTTACAACTCAATATATTTGGCACTTCATTTGCCATGTAAACTTCCAAGAGTTGACTGTCTCCCCATTTTTGGTATTTGCTGTTATTGTATGAGAATTCCTCCCACTTTCGTTCGGTTGAAGTGAAGTGTGTTACGCATCTGTTTCTCCACTTTAATAAAATAAAAATGGTTTATTACTCATTCTAGTGTGCAACAACAAAGCATTTTCTGTTTCTGTAGCATCGGTTGTATACAACCTACAGAAGAGAGACAAGAGTATTGTATGCAATACCCTACAATTGGTCTTCTCTATCAATACTTTCAAACATTTTTTATGTAGTACATAATGAGATATCATGCAGTGAGCACGCGTCGGTGGCTTAGCCGTAGAATGCTAACCAACCACGTACGTAGTCTGGGGTTCGATCCCCGGCCGATGCACCCCTTTACCTCTCTAAGCTGGTAATAAGAGGGAAGGTTGGGCATGAGGCTAGCAACCCCACCCGGTTAAAGAAACTTCGAACCTCTAGCTTGAAGCTTTATGTTCCATTGGGAACGTAAAGGAAGAAAAAGTGTGGTGAACACATTTGTCAGGGTAAAAGATATAAAATCTGGTAACTGTTATGATGGGTTAGGACCTCAATTACATCGTTACTTTGGATCGCAGTTCAGAAACTCAATCCACTTACTGTCTGTCATATTACTGATGATAGTAGAGTGAACACAAGCACTGATATGCAAACAACTTCAATTGTTTGATACCTGGATTAATAGAGTTTATTGTCTAGACAGTACTACAAATAAATTACAGTTGAAATAACAATTGAAGTGTACCTTTTCTCTACTGTACTGTACTGCGAAACTGTCGAGACCTCATATTAAATTAGAGAGAAACTTCAACAGAAACTAGAAGCCACCAATAGAATCTTCAGATGATGCAGTAAAAATGTAGCAAGTGGAATAACCGAGTGATCTGACTGCAGCACTGGGTGGGTGACGTGGGTTCGAACTTTAGATAGGATATCAGCTCCTTTAAGATTGTAGACACGCCTTGCTAATGAGTTCATTGTGGTCTCAATTCCCTTAGCTTGGTAATCATATTGCAAATCCCATCGAAAGAAATCAGCAAGCTTTTATGTATGGATCATACGTCATATAGGTTAGTCAATATATTCAGTTGAATTCTATAAAAGATACACTACAACACGAATAGCTCATTTGATTAATTGCGTCGATAAACACTAACATTTCATTTATCTGATAAATGGACAATTCCATCAACGTTTCGGGTACGTGTTTTTGATGAGTACCAAAAAGTGCAGAACTTAAGTTCAAAGACCCCGAATAATTAGCTCCCAAAAATTAGTCATAATGTAGAATCCTTACTTTCTAGTTATCATATTTCACGCGTAATTTGGTTAGTATTTTTGGCAGAGAAAAACTTGCAGACCAGACGTGAATAATTGGTCAGATTAGGTGACAGTCTACCTTGAGCGCTTCACTAATTACACACGTTCATATTTAACCCGGCGTTTTTGCTTTTGTTTGTTTTTTTTTATTTTGCTTAGATTGCGTGGCGCTATGTCTGCCGGTCGTTTAAGACGTATTGGATTCGGTAATTTGAATGCACCTAACCGAATACCTGAAGATATCGTAGTCCATAACATTCCATTGCAAATTCAGCCTGAACTTCACGAAGATTTTCATGATTTTAACGCAGACTATAGGCGTAAACCTGCACCATGTCAGCCTGATAATTTATTATCTCAAGGTGACAATACTTGTTCATCTAATCAACAACAATTAAGCAAGACTGATCAATCTTGTAGTGTATTGGGAGAAAGTCAAACGGTTAAACGCAATGGAACTGTTGTAGTTGACGAAGATGACGACGATGATGAGATTGCTGAGGAAGATAATGTACCAGGCGCAAAACAAATACAACCAACTACTGCTTCTAGATATTTACCTTTGTGTAAATATGACCCGACAAACAACGGTGTAACCACTAGCAGCAACAAAAGCATTTATCCCTCTACAAAACCATTCGATAAACAGCCTACTAAACACGCACCACCTCTCAGTAGTGGTTCATTCCAGTCTCACAGAGAAGTGTATACAACAAATCCAAAAATGTTAAGTCCACGTCCAGTTCTCGGTGGTCAAGTTGGAGCTTATTTGCCTAATAAATCTCTAAATGTATTACCACCACATCCTTCTGGATTACAGACAGGATCACGTGTCACTTCACCAGTACAACGTCGAGGTCCAACATGTGCAACAATGCATACTGGTATACCTGTACCTGCTAATAATACTACTGCTAACAGTGCAGTAGCTGCAAACGGGCCATCCAACGCTAAATGTAGTATTATGTGAAGGATAACAACGGGATTTTTTCCCCTATAATATCTACTGTTTATATTCAATAACTTCTGTGATTCCTATGTAAGTAAGGCTAAAATTAATATTTGTATACTGTATTACTGGACTCCTCATTACCTTGATGTGCTCCATTTGTATCGTCAAACTCCTACACAATATGATATACTTAATTATAAATAAGCGATTGATTAGTGTATCTGAACTGTATTCATCTCTTACTCTCATCCTCTTTTACTTTAACACACACACACACACACTCTCTCTCTGATGGACATAATAGTATTTAAAGTGTATCTAGAACTATTCCCTAGTCTACTTATATCTACTGCCATATATACTGTTACATATATAGAGTACAGATACGTCAACATTTTTATTTGCAATCAACAAACAAGTGTACATAAGACTGTTAATTTTTCTTTCTTTTGAATCCATTTCTGTTCTTTTTATTTCATTCAGTTGCTGACTTACTTATATTTGTATTTAGTTTAGCGCCAATTTTCCTAGTTTACTTACGTTTGTTATTGACTAGTTAATTGTTTCGTCGAACACTCCTTTGACGCTTGTCGGAGAGGAATCTTTTTTCAAGTGTGTTCTGTTGATATTTTCACTGTGTGTGTGTGTATGATACTCAGTAAATGTGGGCAGCATATACTACTTATACGTTTACTTATTTGATTGTACTTCTACAAAGTTCTCCATAATGTTGTTGTTGTTGCTGTTGCTGTTGCATCTCTTTCCTCCTCGACGTGCGTTGATCACCTATTCTGGAGAAAGTGTGAACGAAGAACACAAAAAGTAAGACAGATGATCAGTTTTGATTGTATGCTGAAATACCAAATTTGTTGATTTATTTATTATTCAATCTTCTTATCCCACTTGTTCTTTTCCTGTGTCATGTATTATTATTAATTATCATAACCATTGATTGGCATGAATACAGGGGAATGAACACTTGTGTATAATGCATATTTGTTACTTTGTTCCCCTCTTAACAGAGTGGATTTCTGGGCGTACAGTTCAAGATTAAAATCACGTGATGTGACTTATTTTTAAAAAAATTGAATTATATGGAATAACTATTTAAGGCTTCAGTCCAGCTAAGGGCATATAGCATAACACAAAAAGAAAACTAGTTTCGGAATTAGAACTGCCTGTTTGAATATGAAAGTTAGGTGTCATCTTTCTTATCAATATGGCGTTCGTGAATAGTGTTCAGTTGTCGATTTTTGTCAATTTTATTATGTGCCTCATGGATCGTTGCAGACAGTTTTTGTATTTAAGTTCAGTGTTTCGTAATGTAAGTATGAGTAGAGCTGCAAATTACCGGCCTACGTACTCAACTTTTAACGATTAGGTTGAAGGTTTGAGCAACCTAGTCGTCTATGTTGCTAGGTAACATGTTCACTTGTTAAACAGGTTCAAGGACGAATTTCACGTATGGTTCGTAGCCCATTACCTGCACTTATATGTCATTACTGCTGATTAACTGTGTAGCGCAACCTCTAGCCAATGTCATTGGCGAGTATTTTTCCTCACAACCGACCTGCGTTAGTGTGTGCCAGGTTCGTCTTGCGATTTGATGGCGTTCATAAACAGCGTCATCTAAATGTTGATGTGAGCAAACTGTTAGCACTTGCTACCTCTTTGAAATACTAGAATGAGTTGCAGTCAATGCTTGCTAGCAAACCCGCAAGTAGTATTGATGAACATTGGTTTCATCTGCAAAGTGCCGTGCAAATAGCGAGTGTAGCCGCTTGTGGCTTAAAAGAATGCTCCGCTAAAAACCACTGGGTTTCTGCGAGTTCCTTGCAACTCCTGGATGAACGCCAGTCCATTCCGGCTGGCGGCGAATACAATAATGTGCGAAAGGCGCTTACGCGCAAGATTAGACAGTGTTTACGTAAGGACCGCGAAGCCTGGTGGTCAGAACGTGCGTGTGAGATGGAGTCAGCCGCTGCATCTGGCAACAGTCGGGAGCTGTTCCAGCTCATCTGCACCACTGGCAGCAAGAAACAAGATGCTAACGAGACGGTCTGTGAGGCAGATGGCACGCCAATTACCAGCCTGGAAAGAAGCCTGGGACGTTGGGCAGAGCACTTCGAGAAGCAATTTATCTGGCCACCAACTCCAGTGCTCCTTGGTCGGTTAGTACCGACCCACCAATCGAAGCGGAGTTCTGGAAGGAACTCCAAGTACTGAAACACCATAAGACACCCGGCCCAGATAATCTACCCCACCTCGGGTCTTTTTAAAGATGGTGGCGAAACTCTCGTCATAGCTTTAACTGGATTATTCAAGGAGGATGTACCATTAATCTGGAATGAAGCCATTATCGTCACCATCTTTAAAAAGGGTCGACGTAACACATGTGACAACCATCAGTCTGCTACCAGTTGCGTCTAAAATACTGGCAACGGTCTTGCTTCGAAGGCTGTGCAAAACACGTGAGGGATTGATTCTCAAAGAGCAGGCTGGGTTTCGTTCAGGCTGTGAATGCATTGATCATGTGTTCACCCTTCATCAGTTGTTGCAACACCGCCACACGTACTGCAGGCCAACAATAGTTGTGTTTCTTGGTATTATGGTTGCCTTCGATTTGTTGGACAGAACTGTGCTCTGGAACTGTCTGTTAGAGAGGGGTGTGCCTGAGAACTTTGTGAACATCCTGAAAGCCCTATAAAGAAACACCTCAGGTAGGGTGAGGGCGTACAACTGACTACCATCACTGTTCCTAACCAACAGTGGAGTTAGACAAGGTTGCCCAATCTCCCCATTTCTCTTTAAATTTGCCATCGATGACATTCTGGAGTCAGCTCTGAAGGACGTGCGTGTAGGTGATGTAGATCTGCCTCCTGGAGAGAGACTTTTCGACCTCGAGTGTTCAGGCGATATCGTCTTACTGTGTTGTAGTACGCAGACTGCCCAAATCGCATTTAATCACTTTGCGATCAGTGTCTGTAAATATGGTATGTGCTTTGCGTCGTCTAAGTGCAAGTGCACTCTGGCAAGTGAACCGACTGAAGTTGTCGTTAAGTTTGTGTATCTTGGTAGTTGTGTGAGTGCTGGTGGAGCCGTGACGGATGAGATTTCCAACCGTGTCATGAAAGCTAGGGTGGCATACGTCAAATTGACCCACTTCTGGCGCCGTTGCGATGTTCAGCCTGGCTGTCAAAGGTCAGGTTTACAGTGTTTCGGTGCGTGCTATCTTGCTCTACTCCTGTAAAAGCTGGCCTCTCCGAGCTGAGGATGTGAGGCGACTCTGCGTATTCGACGATCGCTGTCTCTGTAGGATTGCTTGCGTTCGATGGCATCATTGCTTGAGTAATTCTGAGGTCCGGCGGTGTGTTTAGACACAGTGGAGATCAGCATTCGTTGACTATTGTCATCTGGAAACACTGGCTTCAGTGACTTGGACATATTCTACGAATGTCATCCCAGAGGCTTCCGTACAGGTCTCTGTTCGCTAGCCCTGGGATGGGAGATTTATGTTAGGTTAACATCAATTGGTGCGTCACGACTCTCCGGCTGGTGTCCGAGAGATAGCTGGAATCGATGGTTCGAAACGTTATCGGAAATGGCCAAGAATCGCAATCAATGGCGAATGTGCTGCAATTTCCTTCTTTCTTCCCTTTCCAACAATAATTGACGAATGCTGTTTGAACTTGTTAAATATGACTGCTTTCCGTCCAGATGAAGTACTTTATCCATTCTCTACCTATACTTTTACTTTTAATCAATGTTGTTTTATTATTTATTGTGTGGCGCATCTTCTTGGTGCCATATTGCACCAAGTTTTTGTTTTTTAAAATAAAATAATAACCTGCTGTACCCTACTGTTCACGACTTCTCACTAGAACTCCAGGCAACCTTGTCCTGTAACCAGTGACTGGCGAGCGTCAGGTTAATTTTCAACAGTTTGTTTGTAGGGATTCGATTTGTTTCACGTTCGAACCCCAGTGGAAGGGTACTGCCGATGAGTCCTAAACTAGGACGAAACATCTGTCTGGTACTTCTTGTTGGTTTTTAATAGTCCTCTGAGTGATACCAATCCGTGGTCAAACTTGAAACAAATCAGATGCGTGCAAACTATTGAAAATTAGAGCCAAGTTAATGACAATATCTATAAATCTATGGCTGCTTGTGGACTGCATCCAACCACCTAATTATAATTCAAAATGCTCCGCAGTAGTGAGTCCCCATCTTTGTGACCACAGTGTCAAGGAGTTCAGTCAGAACAATCAACAAATAACCTCGTTTTCACTCCAGTGACCAAAGAATCTAAACATTACACCCTAATCAATAAGATCATTCGTAACATCTGTGATTGCACCACTGAGATTGGCGTGGTTTCTAATACCCTCAAAGGAAATCAATCCCTACAACATTGTAGACGCGTCTTAAGCATGAAACCAATCGCAAGTTTTTATACCGTTCACATGGACAAGAAAAAAATATCTAATCAACTAGCTAAGAAAGACAAAACCATTTGCATGTCACCCCAGAGTATACACAGACTCTTGTAGTACGCTATTACGTATTAGTTTTATCCAATTGACGATAAAGATAATAATAGTAATAATAATTTGCTTTATTCCAGAAACAGTACTAGTGGTACAGTGTGGAATTTTCAGCACATATCTACAATATTTGCATCTAATTTTATCAAACATTTAAAAAAAGTATTTCAAAAAAAATAAATATAAAGACACCAACAGCAAAAAAAACAAACAGGAAAAGCACAAAAGTAATTTTTTTTAAAATGCAAAAAAGTATCAAGAAGTAGAAAGGAAAATAAACATCATATAATAATATCTCAGTATTGGGTAGTGGAAGCAACGATATGATTATGCATGGTGACAGTAAAGCTATAGTCATACAAGAAGTTATGAAATGATGTTTAAGAAAGTTTATCGCCAAGTAGATCAGTTAATTTGGTTGAAACAACTCTAAACAATCATAAAATAACATTTCAGGGTTGTTTTTTTATCAGGTCTAATGCGGTGTTTGTAGTAGTAGTGTGAGTAATCCTGCATAATACAAAATTTTTAAGGTGGTGACAATGGCGTTCACAACCAATGATTGTCAGTTTAATATTGCCGAAAAAATTAAAAAATAAGAAAAAACAACCACAAAACTGATAATTACATGATGGTAATGACAGGAAAATTTTGTACTACTCTTAGTGCTAATATGGTCGGAATCAGTAGGTACACAAAAGAAGGAATACAGTAAAGTACGAAGTAGCTAAGGATGTTTAAGAATTAGTTCACTGTAGAATACAGAATAAGAGAGAAATAAAAGAGCCTAAAAATTATGTTATTAATAACAAAGCAAGTCATGGGTTTCACGCTTAACATTGTCTCTGTCGCTTAGAACACGGGCCAAGTATGGTATCGTTGAGTTCCTGTACTTGGTTATAAGAGCATAAATTATTTTATACTGATTTCTGGTTCTACTTGATGAGATACAAGGCGAGAGTTGGGAATAGAGGGGGTTTTGGGCGGTCGGAGAGTATGGTTTTAGACCATTTTTCACATGTATTCAAATGCCTTTCAACTAATGACTGAGTTTTACACCACTAGTCCTACTAACTACCTTCAACATCCTTCTCAGGATGGTGTAGTCCTTTTTCAGTAGGCCAGGAAAAACTAACGGGGAGCAGTAAAGTGGAATAGGTAAGATACAAGAGTTGACAAATTGGGAGAGTAGAGGCTGGGCGATTCCAGATTGTCTAAGTTTCTTAATGTAGTAGGTAAGACAGAACACTTTCTTAGAAATCGTTAGGATATGAGATGTCCAAGTAAGGTTGGAAGATAGAACTAGACCGAGGTATTTTGCATTAGACTTAGTTTCAATTTTAGTCTCCTCAATGCAGCAGGCATCATGAGAACTTACTAGTGTTTGTAGAGATAATATGTAGATATGAAGATAATTTACATAATTTAGGTCTACTGTAAAAACCATATAACAAAAGTTCACTTTATATACTTATCTGGTTCAAAATGAGATAACATTGTCTGCTACGAGAAGCCTAATGAGTTAAGTTCATATAAAATGATTCACACTTGTGTAATAATAATAATAATAATAAACAAACAAAATCAAAAAGTGTTTTATATCATTACTATTCCTCAAATGGTATTGTTTACGCCTTTTTTTTAAGAAATTCGCCTTTAAAATTACGAATGTAACATTGAACTTAAAAATGTATTCTTACAATCATCTAATGAAATTATCATAAAGAATAAAAATGGAACTATCTTAGTTGATTTTGTGATTTTGATGT